ATAATTATTTAATTATTTTTAATCAGTACTGGGGATTGAACTCACGACTGCGCGCTTGCAAGGCAGGCACTTATGCCACTGAGCTAAATCCCCAGCCCTGTAATTATTTAATTTTACTAGATACTAGAGACTTTAAGGTGTTATACTTTTTCTGTATTGATCTATTAATATGATAAATTACATTGATAAAATCCATATGTTTGTTTGCTTGTTTGTTTGTTTGTTTGAGACAGGGTTTTGCAATGCAGTTCAGGCTGGCCTTGAACTCACTCTGTATCTACACTGGCCTTGAACTTGCAGTGATCCTCCTGCCTTAGCCTCCCAAGTACTGGAATTACAGGTGTTTGCCACTATGCCGGGCAAAATTCCTAATTTCGAACCTTAGTAGAGTTTCATGAATGAAGTCCTTTATCGTTATAGACCGTGATTACTCATTAGAGTCTCTTTTCAAATGTTTTATTCATAAATTTGATATCAAAGAGATTTTAGTGACATTCAAATATGTTTTCCACCAAGTTGTACTAGGAAAATTTTCAATCATATAGAGAAATTGAAAAAGAAACATGTATGAATATGTGCATCTTCTACTAAGATTTAGTAATTATTTATCTTTTGCCACATTTGATCTATTATCTATCATCTAGCTAGCTAGCCAGCTATCATTTATCTCCTATGAATCTTATCATCTATCATTAATCCACTCATCTATCCAACTAGCTGTATTGAAAATGACATACAGATGTCACAATACTTGCTTTACCACCATACATTACCTTGGCTGTCCTAAAATTACAGATCTAGTTTATAATACCATGTTACTTACACATCTATAATTACAATTTCTAAATAGCATTTAATATCTAATCCATATTTGAATTTTGTATAGTTTCAAGAATATTTTTTAGTTATTTTGTCTCTCGAACTGGTCAAGCTTTATCCACTGCATTTAGTTTTCTCTTTTATCTTTTTAATTCAGAACATTTTTCATGGCATTGACTTCAAAGAGTTCATCTTAATTATCTTAGAGAATTCCAATATTCTGTATTTGTCTCTGTTGCCATTTAACTTGTTAATTTTCCTCATGTGATTCTTAGAAATTCATCAGTAAGGCCTGAGACCTGAATAGAATTAGAATGCGTCAGTGTTGCCACATTCTTTAAAGGGTATTGCTTGGGGAGCCCATAATGTTAGCTTGATTTGGTATTAGTAATGCCAAGTTTGATCTTTTGCACATTCTACTGTATAATCCGGTTTCCTTGTAAGAAATCTTTGAGTGAACCTTGACAAGGTGTAGATATCCTACCTGTTATAACTCGGGCCCCGGTATAAAATCCAAGGAAGCAAGAGTCCGAAAATTTAGGTAGCAAAGGCTTTATTTCCAGGCCTGGCGACGAGTCTCTGGGAGCCAATTTGGAGACTGTGTCTCAGAGACTGAAGGGAGGACTTTAAAAAGGGGCTGGAGGAAAAGCGGGGGAGAAACAAATAAACCTACAGAGCCATCAAACTTGTTGACCCAAGTCTGGAAACTGTATTGCTGTCCACTTAGCTCTGACAATCTCAGGAGTTTCTGGTGTTTCTCAAATTACTCCCATCCTACAACTGACATTATCTCGGAGTGGCACATCTGCAGCAATATTTGGAGAAGAAAGTGGAGAGTTAATTATCCCAGGACAGCTCGTTTTCGCTAGTGGGTGTGAAGGGGTCAAGAGTTACAAGAAGCTGAAACTTAAGTTTTACAAAGATCTGATATCTAACTCATTTGATGCATACAGAACAAAAGGAAAGCACCGATTGGGGTTTGGGACATAGTATTTCCCGGTAATTTCTTTGAAGCTAAACAGGTCTTAAAATTGGGGCAGGCTCATTTTATGACAGATCATCACCGGGTCGGGAAGAGGTCACCAGAAACCCAAATTCTTTATAGCCTAGATAGTGAGGGGAGAGGGAGGCAATAAGGCACCATACAAGTGTAAATTAGTGGGCCATCCTAGTTTTCTTTAGCTCTTTAGCGGAGAATAGAGGCGCCTAACAGTGATTAACAACCCTTGTTAGCTTGTTTTAGCACAACTTCTGTAGTTTGTAGAGGGCAACAATGGTTAACATATCAATTAGGTGAGATTCTTGCAATTCTTTACAGAGGAGAGTATTGCTCAACATATCAGTTAGGTCACTTAACATATCAGTTAGGGAAAAAGGATAAAAAAAACACATTTAGTAAGCCACGTTGCAGGTTTGCTATAATACACAAAATAATGAAGGTATTTTCTTAGAGTACAACACTACCTTGTAACAGTCTTTCATGCTGTCTCTTGAGCATGCATAAATGAACCCAGCTTGAAAGAGCCCTTACACTATGTGTTGCAGATGGTCATTTTCTAAGTTACACATACTTTTGTATATAAAAAAGAATGCTTTTTTTCTTTCATTTTACTCTCTGTACTCAGGGATTTTTATTTATTCAACATTTTATAAGACAGTATTTTTTGGTGGGAAGGTTTCAGATTTCCAAAATGAAGAGAATGAGAACATTTTGACTCCTTAATTCAGCTGAATTTTAAATACTACTTTGGTTTGTAGGGCAACAAGGTGCCCTAGTCTCACTTTGTGTTTTCCCTTCCCTACACCTGAAATCTGTTTTTCCCCTCACCCATGGCTGTCTGGTTCTTTTCAGTGAGTCCTGTGTATGCGTTGGCATGCATGTTAACATGCAGCCAGACAACTGACAACCCTGCCTTAGCCTTTACTTCCTGTGTGCAGAACTCCAAAGTTAATCAGAGGTGAGAGTTTAGGGCCTTCTTGGCTCCTTTCTGAGTGTGCACATTGGCCTAGATACGCATGTGGCATTCTGGGTTCCCAGGAATATGTTGGCACTCTTCAAAACTGCCTGTGGATATCGTATTCCCAGGTTTTCCTTTGAAACTTTTTGGTTAGATTATTGTTTTCTCTAACTGTTATCCATTACCTCATGCAGCCTCAACATTAAACAACTACCTCTGATTGTTTTGGTCAAGTGCCCCAGGGAAAGGCTGTTTGCGCTGGGCAAGCTCACAATTAGGTAAAATAAAGGCAGCTTTGTGAGTGAGGCCTTCCAGGGAACAGCTTACAGCTCCAATAACTACAGTTGAGAATTGGGTTTGGGAGGAGCTCCACACCCATTCCAGCTCCTGCAGAGTCTGGCAAGCTGCTGGTTTTCACGGTGATGATGGGCTCTTGTTTTTAAGGTTACTATGGAGGTGGAGCTTGGGGGAGACAGGAATAAACAAGTTAATATGCTACTAAACTCACAGCTCTTACTGTGTATTTTTCTTGAATAATTGCTGACCAGATTGTTGCAAGCTCTTGATGAATTTCCAGAGTTTTGAAAATGTTGATTCTGACAATTTTTGCAAATATTTGCTTTGCTTTTTTGGAAGAGGTGTGTGGGTCTGTGTGTGTGTGTGTGTGTGTGTGTGTGTGTGTGTGTGTATGTGTGTGTGTGTTTGTGTGTGGTAATGTGACCATCACTGCCATCCCACTTCTGGACATTTTTCATCCTGTGAAACAGAAATTCTGTGCCTATTAAAGAATGATACCTTAGTTCCCTCTTCCCCAATCCTCTGGTAACCATGATTCTACTTTCTGTTTCTATGAGCGTGACTATTCTAGGTACCTCATGTAAGTAGACTCATACTACATTTATCCTTTTGTGTCTGGCTTGTTTCACTTAGCGTAGTATCTTCATGACTAATCCATGTTATAGCATGTGTCAAAATTCCTTCCTTTTTATGGCTGAATAGCATTCAGTTGTAGGTATATACTTTGTGATATTTATCACATTCATGTGTGGATGGATGAACACTTGGATTGCTTCCACATTTTGGCTGTTGTGATAAAAGTGCCTACATATAATACATATCAGGAAATACAGGTTTGTATCATTATTTTTATTTATTGCATGGTATTCCTTAGTATGGATATAGAGAACTTTTTTCTTTTGACCTTTCCCATGCTGTTGGACCCTTAAATAGAGTTAATTATTCATTTTTATACATATATATTTAAAACAAACAAACAAATCTGGAAAGGACCTTCATCACAGTATTAGAATTGATGATCTCTGGGCAATAGGATTAGAAATGGTTTTTGTTTTCTTGGTTTATCTGCAGTCTAATTTTTTTTGTCTTTTTCCTTTTTATCGGTACCAGGGATCGAACTCATGACTGCTTGCTTGCAAGGCAGGCACTTACGCCGCTGAGCTAAATCCCCAGCCCCCTGCATTGTCTAATTTTTAATATTCCACAGGTACTTAAAAACTAGTCAGTAGATGCACTGACATCTTTTGTTTTTCCAGTTGCACTTTGGAGAGTCTGTCCAAAAATTTGTTCTCTATAAGTGAAACAAAAATAGCATCTTCTTGCAGTGATTCATGTCACTGCTATCATTCCATTATCAATAGGACTGTCCTTGGGCACAGTTCATATGTGAGATTGGGTTATCACCTCGGCATAAAGATTATCCTAATAGGTGCCTATATGAGGAAGTATCCATAAAGAGCTAGATTTCCAGCAATTGGTTCTTCTAGGCAATTGGTTCACTGGGCGTTTCCAGCAATTGGTTCACTGGGCGTTACTGTGAAGGACCACAGATTTTGGTAGGCTTTGTAAGCCTTGTGGCATGAACCATGACTACTTAGTATGGCCTTCATGGAACAGAAGCAACTGTAAATGAGTGGATGTAGCCACATTTGGGCCCACGCATGGCACGTTGATGAGGTATGGGGAACCCAAGCTGGTGAAGTGATAGGTCAGGGCATTTATTCAAACTCTCCTTTAATGTGATTTGAAAAGATATCTAAATGGAAGCACGTGAACAGTACTTATCTGCCGTTCACAGTTGGCCCTTTCAGAGATTTCTGGCTGTCAGATGGAAATGAAATGTAATTAAGAACATTCTAAAAATGCACCAGAATCAGTTGACTTGCTCAATGCAGTTTTTACTGTTTGTCTTGTGTTCTTTACTAGAAGAAGAAAATGTGATTGCCGTTCCTCTGGGAAGTCGAAGTGTGAGAATCACAGTGAAAGGACCTGCTCATCTCTGTGAGTAGAGTTTAATCTTCAGTTTTTTTATTTCCTAAAAGCTTATTTCTCTTGGTTTATGATAGGTAAACAAACATGAATCTTAAGGATTTTTGCCTACTATTCTGAACTAGTTTGCATTACTAGGAAATTGTCAATATACTGAAATTTTTTGCTTTCATGCCCCTGTGGAAAATATACTGGTTTGAGGTCAGTTCCCTCAAGAGAGAGGAAATCAAGTTCTGTGTGAAACTGTTTCTCCAGGGGACAGTAAAGAAAGATGCAGACGTTTTCTGGAAAGCCAGTACTTTGCAGTCCTGGTGCCTCTTTGGCTAAAAAGTAAGATGGCATCTCCTCTGGGTTAGCTTTTCCAATTCCTTAGAAGAAACTGCAAAGGCCAGAGGTTTTCTCCCTGTCTTCCAATGTATAGCCTCAGACAGGATTTTCTTGGTTAGATCTGGAAGAAAGCAAGTCTCTGCCTACCTGACCTGGCCTTGAAGAAGCTTATGGAGTGTAGCCTGCACAGCCTATAGACAGGATGACACACTGTAACTACTGGAAAGCCACATGATCAGTGTCCACCGAATCAAAGTACTACATAGTCTCCTCTTTTTTCTGGGCTGTTATCTTTGATATTTAAATCACAAGAATTTGTCAAAACCAGAAGAACCTCACAGTTTAGTAGTGTGTGTGTGTGTGTGTGTGTGTGTGTGTGTGTGTGTGTGTGTTGGATCCAAAACTATGGAGTATGAAAAAGTTTGCAGTGAAATGTTTAAAGAAAAATATTTAAGGTCAGTATCAAATTTGAAAAAATAGGGCCGGGGTTTAGCTCAGCAGCATAAGCACCTATGTGATGAGTGCAAGGTCATGAGTTCAATCCCTGATACAAAAAGGGAAGGAAGGAAGGAAGGAAGGAAGGAAGGAAGGAAGGAAGGAAGGAAGGAAGGAAGGAAAGAAAGAGAGAAAGAAAGAAGAAAAAAATCTATTTTACATTGTGATCCAAATTAGAGAAGAAAGAGAATATCTTTGTGACAATAAAAGCGATCAATTATTTAAAAGCCCTCTTGCTGTTAACTTTATGTGAATTATACCTAAAAGGATAACTGAATTTTTGACACATTTTTTTGGGTGTTTTGATTCGGGATCTCATTGTGTAGTCCAGGCTGGCCTTGAACTCACTATGTAGCCCAGGGTCATCTCAAACGCAAGGCGATCCTCCTGCCTCAGCCTCCTGAGTGCTGGGATTACAGGTGTGCACCGCCTGGCTGAACACAATTATTAAAATGTTTATAGCCATATAGTTATTTCTTTATTCAAGTCTTTTTTGGTAATGAAACAGCAACTCTCTTTTCTATTTATGAAAACTTGCATCTTTTGATGATTGTCTTCCTTCTTGTAAATGTAAACCTCATTTTGGGTGACAAATCATTCAGATCCAAACTTTTTTTATTTTTATTATTTTGAAAGTAGCAAAATACAACAGAACAAGACAGAACAAAGCCAACTGAGACAGTGCAGTGAAATTGGTACAGAACGTCACAGCAGGTTGCCGGGATCACAGTAATAGGTGCCATAGTACATCTCATTGTCTTCGCAATAGTTGTTCCTTCAATCAGGTACAGCAAAATCAAACCAAATACAGAACATTATAGAACTTATCAAAACAGAATATTGAATAGAGCAATACAATTAATCAGAACAAAGCAAAACAGTGATAACAATATTTGCCTTCAAAGAGATGGTATAAGAAAATCCCCCCCTATTTGGTATATTGCATCTGGTCAACCTCCCAAGAGAGACTCAAACATCTGGCTCCCATTTGCTAATGGGGAGGGGGTTGGGAACGGGGAGCGGGGGTTCTGGATGTTTGATTCTCAGCCTGCACACCAGTAGGCTCATGGCTGCTTACCAGGGAGGTGAGCAGGTTGCTTTGTTTCTCAGTGTCCTAAGTTCCAACATGGCATGGATCTCAGGAGACGCTGGGTTGTTCTCCCCCTTGGGCAGCTGCAGCTTGCCAGAGCCATGGCTGCTTATCAGGGAGGTGAGCTGGTTGCTTGGTTTCCCAGTGTCCTAAGTTCCAACATGGCACAGATCTTAGGAGACGCTGGCGTTCTCTCCCTGGGGCAGCTTTTGTGTGTGTGTGTGATAATGGAGATTGAACTCATGACCTCACACTTGCCAGCCAGGCACTTACGCCACTAAGCTAAATCCCCAGCAAGATCCAAACGTTTTAATAATTTCAGTGATACTGTTGTGAAATATCATTTGTATTAAAAAGTAAAAAATGCTGAGTATTCACAGTAGTGTTACTGATACTAGCCATCAAGTGGGAACAGCCCAAATGTTCATCAACTATTCAATGAATAAGTGAAATATTAAATACATGGAACAATATTTGGCTATGAAAGGACATGAAGTGTAGATATTAAGCTATAACATGGACAGTCTTGAAAACATTATGCATATATGAAAGGAGCCAATCACAAAAAGTTACATGTGATTCCATTTACCTACAATATGCAAAATGGGCAAAATTACAGAGATAGAAAGTGGATAGGTAATTGCTTGACTTGCTATGGAATTTCTTTTAGTGGTGACAGAAATGTACTAAATTGAGACCATGGCAATGACTTCCCTTTGTAAATATACTGGACACAAGTATGCATTAAATTACATACTTTAAGTGGCTGAATTTTGGCTTGGGATGTAGTTCAGTGTTAAAGCACCTATGTACATACATACGTACGTACGTATATACATTTTGTGGCATGTGAATTATATATCAAAAGATGTTTTAAGCATTTTGATATGCAGTGACTGGGTCTGATAGTTTCATATTAGTAAAGGCAATTCTCCAAAATCAACTTCAAAATTTGTTTTTAAATTATAAAAACACAATGAGCAAACAGTAAGCAGACAGCGAAGTAAAGGTGAATACTTTGAGGCAAAGTTCATTTGCATAGATATATACCAGCATATTAAACACAACTTTTATTATTATTATTATACTGGTACCAGGAATTGAACTCATGATCTTGTACTTGCTAGGCAAATTCTGTGCTGCTGAGCTATTTTCCTGGCCCCTACACAACTTTATACTCAAGATTCTGGTGCTCTGCCAAGCACAGGGCTCAGATATGTTCCCATTTCTCCAGTAGTGACTTATGTGTTGCTGGGAATATTTTGCCATCTGAATAGTGTCACAATTGGCTCTGCAAGTGTTTCTGAACTTTATCCTTCCCTAGTGATAAACAGAATTGGCTTCATCTACAAATGAATGAGTTTACATTTCTGGATATCTAAATATAGAAGATGCTTTATTTTCTTCATTTATAAAACTATTTTTACATTTTTATTTTTAAAAATAATATTTCTGAAATGAAGCTTATTTTGCATTAACAAATCATTCTTTTGAGATCCATATTAACTTCAACACCCAGAAGTGAGAATATCCAGTGATGTTAATCCCTGTCTCTTTGTTGTGGAATGGAATTTAATTACAGAATGTCCAACTAGCATTTTTCTCATAGCAGTTTAATTGCTGGATTTCTAGTCCTGATCCAAGCCTGGCCACGTTATGTAGGGAGCACTAACCTCAAATTTTCCTATAATACACCCCTTCAAAACTGAAATTGGTAAGAAGATCTCTGCAAAATTAATCTTATTGCAGCAAAACTTCAGCATTAGATGTGTTCAACTAGCAATAAAATTGAGAATCCAAAATGCTTTATACCACACTGTAGTATATGAACATATACTACAAGAATATAGCCCTCTTATAGGTAAAGGTTTGAAGTGTTTATAACTACATTCGATGTGCTAACTCTTGCCACACATTTACCTAACTGTGTTTCTGTGGCCTGCAGAATGTAAGCAGATTTCCTGGCAATAATTAAAAAACTTTGTTTCTTTCCCATCAAGTCCACATTGATAACTTCTTAATTGCAAGCCCTTCTACCGGAAGTCATTGGAAACATTCATTACCTTTTTGGCCATTGTGTCTTTTTAAAAATAAGTATGGATTAAAATATTTAAAGACATCATTACAGCCTTAAAGATCTGAGGAGAAAAGGCCCTGATTGCGGAGTCTGTTTTCTTACTGGAGGCTTCCTCTCCTGCCTTCTGATCTCCTCCCTTCCACTCAGTCTAAGCCTGAGAGCAGTCAGGGGCCAGTGGACAGCAGGAGAGAGGCTTATGGCCCACTCTTTGGTAGGGTGCTTCAGGGCTTCTCAGGGTCTCCCAGACCCCAGTTACTTTGCTGCAGAAGTCGCATGCTCGAGCATGCAGATCCCAAGAGCCCTGAATCACACCCAGGGGAGCAGACAGAAAGGAATGAAGACTTCCCTGAGGCACTGAGAAGCCAGAACATCATTTGAATTACTGAGTGACAAAACCATGGCCTCCATTTCTGTCATTTGTTCTAAGAGGCATGGGTATTAAGAAGCAGCAATTTATCTCTGATATAAATGGCAGCTTTTGAAGAACTGTGTCGGCCTCTGCCTCCCTGAGGTCTGGCAGGAAGGCGCCACCTTCTTCAAGTCGGCCCACCCTCCTCTCCCACCTACTTTGGACTCAGCTCCTTGCTTGCACAACTGAGGTTGGAGCACCTACTTCCCATCTCCCAGATGGGCAGCCGTGTTATTCTCGAGAGATCTGGGAGCCTTTTGAAATAATGGGGGAAATGATATTTTACAACAAACATATAGTTCCATGGTAAAGAAGTGTGGGATGGGTAATTTGAGAACTGTCTTTGCTCTTTGTGTTTTTATATCCTTGTCACTGAAAATCATGTTTTCTACAAAGGAAGAAAACATCTTATTTATTTTTATTAATGTTTGTGGTAATAGTTACATCCATTTAGAGAAATTGGTATATAGTGACATCACATTCTGGTCCTGGTCAATTCCTTACTCTCCCTCTGCTCTCTAGTTCTCTTCCCCATCTTCAAAAAGTTTACCCGTGTGTATTCTACCATCTGTCCTTTATTTCACTCTTTGTATTTTGAGCTTCTCAGATAAGAGAAACTGCAATATTTAATGCTCTGTGTCTGACTTGCTTCTGGCTATTTGAAGAGCTTGGCTATTGTGAATTAACCTGGATATGCATGGAGTCGCTATAGTATGATTTTAAGGATTATACCTAAATGAACTATTGCTTGGTCAAACAAGGCTAAATTCTTTTAGTTTTTTTAAGAAACCTCCATAGAGAATTCCGCAATTGTTTTAGTGGTTTATATTCCCACACTATCGAGGTTTCCTTTCCCCTCACATCTTCTCTATCATTTGTTATTTTTTGTGTTCTTGGTGCAAGTCATTCTGACTGTGGTGTGATAGAATCTCAGAGTTGTTTCAATTTGCATTTCTCTGATGGCCAAAGATGCTGAACATTTTTTTTTCATGTTCTTATTGGCCATTTATACTTCTTCAAAATATTACACACTGTTGAAATAGCGGAATGACTTGGCATTTAAAACAGGGCACCAGAACCAAACAGAAATGCTGGCCTTTGGTTAGAAGGTGGAAGTCACAGCCACAGGTCTTCCTTCCTCCCAGGTCAGCTACCCAGATTCCTGTACCCTCTCCCCAGCCCTGCATCGCAGTGAAACTTGGAAATCTGTGCTTCAGAAACTAAGAGCCATGGTAAAAGCAATTACACTCCCTGGCCCCATGGCTGCGGAATCCGTCACACACCACTTGAACTTAATCAAGTCATCTCGGGCTACATCTCAGTCTAGAATCTCGGTATTTCACAAGCTTCCATGAGGATGGTTTATGTCCAGTTTCATTCTGTTTTGATATTGCCCGTGTGCTCATTGTTTTTCTTCTTACTTTATAGACCTAATTCCTCCAGTGTGGGGCTTGCTTGCTATCTCTAGTTCCCAATCTTGCTTTTTACTGACAACACACTTTATAACACTCGGTTTTATATCTTCATTGGAACTAGGAAATGAATTTAATCTTGCACTTTCCAAAAATCTGCGGTCGTGGAGAGCAGGGCCAAAGTGGTTGGGGTTTTGTGTGCCTGAGAGTAGCCAGCATTATTCTTTGACCACTAATGACTCCTCCAGATCGAGGAGCTCCTAGCCAGCCCTTAAATGTTCTCAGCAAAGTTCCCAGCCTGCCTGTCAGGGATAATCAAGGTTGTCTCCTGGTGCCTGGGATACAGCCTGTCCAGCTCAGTTGGATTCCCACACCTGCATCTTGGCAGAGAGGAAACCCAGCAAATGAAAAGAGCCAGAGCCCAGCAGTCCATGGGTCAGAACTCCCTGTGCCGGCCCATCTTGCATTTGTCTGCTCTGCATGGTTAAGTTTGAAGTGAATGGAGTTCTGATTGTGTTGTGTTCTTTGCTCACGTCTGCCGCAGCACCACGGAATAGAGTATAGGTTTCAGAGCAGAGCCGGACACAGGAATCATCCATGCCCACTCCTTACTTTACATCGGAGACAGTGACACTCACGGCAGCCAGTTACAGAAAGTTGGACCCAAAAACACAGGTGCCCAGTACCCCCCTGAGAAAGCTGTTATTGCTTCTTTCAGCCTGAGGCCAGTTCTACTATGTATGGTGATTTACCAAAATAAAACAATCAAGAAAAGGGAAAATAAAGAAAGAATTTAAATATAATAGTTGTCACGTTGTTCAAACTGTGGAGAAACACTTTTCTGAAGGAGATCTTAAAAGCACTTTGAAAGCAAATTATGGTAATAGTGGCATAAACAAAGGAGGTCTTCATGGCAGTGGGGTGGTTCTGTATTGGCTCTGTGGCATTGTGTGAAAAATGACATCAAACTGTATCACGTACTGTGGCATGGATCTCCTGGTTTCACTGCTGTACTCTCCTTTCCTCAGATGTAGCCATCAAGGAAGACTGGGAGAGGTTACCCAGAGCATCTCCATGTTATTTGTGCAATTGCCTTGAATCTATTCTTATTTTAAAACAAAAAGGTGTTTTTTTTTTTTTTAAAAAGAAATTTCAAATTCATTTTGCTTTTTTCTAAATAAAGGAGTAAGTGTAATATCTAAACAGATAATAAGCAAGTGAAATTGGCTTTGTTTATTGTGTGTGTTTTAGCTCCATCATAGAAAAAAAAATATATATATATATAAAAAAACGTTTTTTTTTCTCACACTAGAAATGGCTCAAAAAATACTGAGTAGACTTATTGTGCCTCCCACCCTCATTAGTATCTTTTTTATAGGCAACTTAAAGTGGTTACATATTTATTCCACCAACATAAATCAATGTAAATTGAGTGGATATTTTGATATTGTATTGATAGCATGTTCTGATACTGAGTAAAATGTCATTTTGATGGGGACACTTTTAAAAAGGCTAGTTTTCTTATTTAAATTTTACTTTTACATTTTAGTTATTGAATCAAAAACACTTCAAGGAAGCAAAGGAGAACACAGTTTTAACAACCCGGGAGTCTTTGTTGTGGAAAATACAACAGTTGAATTTCAGAAGGGCTCAGAGAGGCAGACCTTTAAGATTGCAGGACCGCTGATGGCTGACTTCATCTTCAAGGTAGGGTGATCATCTGCAGAAATTTCCTCTAGGAGCCTGGAGTGCCTTGATTCTAAAAGTGGTTTGTTGAGCAAGAGGCCATCAGCGACTGTTTTAATATGGCACGTTTCATTGATATTTTCATCATGCCAGTTCTTATCTAAAAATTGTTCATCTGTTCAAGTGTCTGCTCCTTAACCCTGCTCGTTAAGAAAGAGATTTCACTTTTATAGGGGAAAGACTGATGTTTGCATTAGTAATCTCTAGCTGCCATGTGCAATTTTAAATGTCTGCAGTCTGGTGAAAATGAGCAATGGTTAAACATAGTACCCTTGCAAATCAGAGCAGAGGGCAGAGGCTCTGGGCACACTGCTTTCTGAGGTCTTGGCTTCCGTCCTCAGCCCTTTGGACACACAGTCCTGCGGTGCCTGATTCCAAGAGCCGCGATTTGCTCCCCAGGTTGGGTTGTATTGTGAGCATCATTAGAAGGAACTTCTAGACAACTTCCCTAGCTCCATGTGGAACCTGTAACCCCCCTCTGATAAACTGAGAGGGCAGGAAATATAACCAGCAGTCTATTTCTCAAATGACTCAATTTAAAACTCTTCTGATAAATTTAATGTCTAAGAAAAGAAAATAATAATTCAGTGGGTGGTTTGCCCTCTTCCTTTTCAGAATACTCATTCCAAAACTGTAAATGGAAAGAGAAACATCGCCCTAATTGCCACTGATATCTTCAAGTATGGGAAAGCAAAAACCAAAACACTTAAAACAAAAAACTATCTGTTCTCTGTAGTAATTTGTCAAAGAATGTTTCACTGAGACATTGCTGTGTCAGCCAGGAAATACATGTGGAGGTAAATGAGAGTTGCTAAGCGATCCAAATTCCTAAGAACCAAATTCTGCCTGCAGGGTGACTAGTCAAAGGTTTAATTTTTGTTACTTTGGCATTTAAAATAGTCAACATTGAAAAATCAAGACAGTTGTAATGAAATCTCAGGGTGTTTTTCTGCTTCTTTATTAAAATGGAGATCTGACAGTGAACTTGCCTTTTACAATAACTGATGTGGGCTACAGCCAGAGGGCCGTGGTCCTCTATTCTGGGCACATTCTCTAGTTCACCATGGTCTGTCAACCCCTGCTGGCATCACTAGCATGAAAGATACAGGTACATCCTGCTTCCGGTGCTCAGTTATGTTGTAAGCATAGCCTACAAGACATCGAGACTTGTAACATCTGTGTCAGATCCTTGAATCATTGATTCCATGGTCTTGTACCATCACACTGTGAAAGCTTCAGAAAGGAACTATAATTAGTAGTTGTCTCTCTGGTCCATTGTCATGGCATTAATTCTGGGCTTGTCTTACTTCCTCTGGGCTTTGCTGCTTGATTCTCTAATAGTAAACATACAGAGAAACATTTTTGTCTTTCAATGACTACTGAGGGAATTTGTGTTCTTCTTAAGCCAATATGGAGGTTTCTTACTGAGGAGAAGACGCTAGGATAATGGTATCTTGGAAAAAACCCACAAAGATTAGTACTCAAGATACTGATTACAGTGTCCACATGGCTAGATCTTAAAGATACATTTTTTATTGCTACTAGGTAGGAAAGTATACATACACAGAGATTGTATGTGTCTGTGATTGTGTGTAACCTGTATACAAATATATATGTATGTACATAGTTTTTTTTTTTTTTTTAGTATTTGGGAGGATGCATCCCCAAAACGAAGGTAATATTAGCTATTAGAGAGGGGGAAAATGTTCTGGGGGAGTAGTCTTAATTTCATTTATGATACCTAATTCTGAAGAGTAACTTTTAAAAGAATGCTTTTATCACTTATGCAATTAAAATATTTGACACTTTCTTACCCACATTACACAGTGACCTCTTCTCAGAGTCCATTGTGACAGTGTGCCTTCTGCCGTCTGAGCTGATACCCTGTCCTCTGTTCTTCCATCTCTGAGCTCTGGCTTTCAGATTGAACAGTTCTAGACCTCAGTTTCTGGAAAGTTAAGCTCTCTCTCCTGGAAAAGTTGTTTTAAAAATGTATTTATCAATCAGGGTGTTCCACAACTGATTCATCTATAAATAGTCACGATCTTTCAAGGATGTGGTGCATTCAGTGGAAGAGAATTTGCCAAATTGGAGATATTTATGTTGAAGTAGGATGACTGTGGTGATTTTCCCTGACTTGGGAACTTGTCCAAATATTGTAGGTTTCTAGGAAATATCCTTTTCCATGGTGTGTGTGTGTGTGTGTGTGTGTGTGTGTGTGTGTGTGTTTCATTTCATATCTCTCTCTCTCTCTCTCTCTCTCTCTCTCTCTCTCTCTCTCTGTGATTCAGAACAACGTGCCCAGCCTGCATTGTTGCTCAGATAGGAGCTCCTTGCTTCCGTTCCTCCCCTCCTGGCCTATTGAGTGATGGCTCCCAGTGGGAGTGGGGCAGGGAGTGTGGTTGCCAATGACTACCCTGTGCACCTCTTTCCATTACCCAAGAGCATCTGGCTTAGAAGTGGCTTCTGTTGAGGCAGGATGAGGCACTGAGGATGAATTTTGCTCACGTGGTGCTGATTTAGCAGATGTGAGTGCCCTGGGCTGTCTGTATCAAGTTGCACTCCCCCATATAGCTCACATAGTAGGCCTTATTTCGTGGCTTTTAGTAAGTGGACTTGGAAATACTGCAGTCTTACTTATGAAGTGTACAAGTATCTGTGCTATGTTAGCTTACTTTCTAATTATTGTTGCTCAGATTCAGAAATTTAGCAAAGTGTACTACACCAATAAAATTATTTTTTCTTTTTTTATTCTTCAAGAAACTGTATGTTCATGGTTGGCCCATTCTTGAAAATTGTACCGTTTCCTCTTTCCAAAGGATTTCTCACCATGTGCTCTTGTTTTGCTGGATAACCTGTTTCCCATGGATGACTCTTGTCACGACACAGTTGTGCTGGGATATTTCACATTAGCGCCTCAGGTCTTTATTCCTAGATTTTGCTCCTTGGATATGTGTGTGGCCGTCAGGGAGCAGTAGAGAGTCCTGACTAAGTCACTGACATTCTGTGATTAGCTAGATGCTTCATTCAGGGAGAATTCACTAAACATTGTGTGTGTGAGTAGATGCTTGTGAATACCAATTTTAAGTATATTCCCCTAAGTATGCAATAAAATTAAGTGGCTTTGATGAAGACATATCTTTTGGAGTTAATTTGAATCCATGCCTAGCAGCTTTCCTTTCTTTCAAAACATTGATCTGTTCTCAGTGGTGATAGAGAGGGGGGCTGTCTTCTTTGTGATCTGGGAAATCTTTTTCTGCCAGCTGTTTTCTCAGAAAACTCATTTTTCCTCCCTCCAGATATTCTGTTTCTGGAGGAAATTGTTTTTTGATCACTTTTCCACTGGCTTGCTGTGGTACAAGCTGTGTCTCCGGCTCCCTCAGGCCTGGCTATGTTTCTACCACAAAACGCTGCATTTCTGGACAGTCAGGAGTGCAGGTAACTTAGCCCAGGACAGAGAATATGAAAAGCCCTATTGTCCTTTCTCTCGGTGGATATATTACCACCTTGCAGTGTGCTGCAGCTAGTGGCTATGTTCACACATTCTCAGGTACTTCAAAGTACAGAGAGACAGCTTCGGGGTCAGTCCCTATGTTACTTTACTGAGGCTACTGTAGTGGGTGACCCAAAAGCAGAATGCCTAAATCACAGCTCTGGAGTCAAAATGTCCAGAATCAAAATGTTCGCAAGATTGGTGTCTTCTGGTCTCTGTAAGGGAGATGTGTTGTGCCGTCTCTTCACGCTGTATAGCTCAGGCTTTCTCTCTCCATCTCCTCACTGTCTATACTCTGTTCATGTCCACTCCAGTGTGCACACTCCCCCTTTTCATAAGGGCACAACCATGTGAACGATAGCCCATCCCCAGTGACCTCATTTTAACTCAATTGCTCCTGTTAAGACCCTGTTTCCAAGTCAGATCTGAGGCTGAGGCACCATGGGCTAGGATGTCAACTCCCCCCCACCCCGGGACAAAGTGTAACCTGTGACAGTGCTAAAGAAAATTTAGCTACTTCCCATGAAAATTTAGCTACTTCTATCCCATCTTAATGGCTTACCACTAATCACAAAGGTAGAAACTTGTGGAATATCCCGTGTAATTCTGTAATGTGATTTGCTCAGGAAGATTTCTTGGTTAAAGGAGTTGAAATACTGCTTTAATAGTTATTAGAATTCACAAGTAAGTTTTACACACATACACGCACCATTTTATATTACACTCTACTTCATGAATTTTATAAATCATTTTGTGACCAAGTGACCAAGTCAGGCAATTGCATTTGAATTAATCCTTTTCCTAATAAAACGGGGAAATTTAGTTTTGTGAATGTTAACATGTTAATCATCTCCTTTGTCTTTGGAGATACCTGCTTTGGGGTGTTGATAGAGGTTTCCCTGAACATCAAAAACAAGAAAGGAACTTTGACTCTATTTCACATTTACCATTTAATATGATGTTGCTTATTCCATGAGACTTTCTATACCTATGTTCTTCAGGATTTTTATCATGAGTTTTGTTAGACTTTCCACATCCATTGAGACATCATGTGATTTTTATCTTTGATTCTATATGTGATAAATTACATATATTGATTTACATACATTGAACCATCCTTGCATCCCTGGAATTAAAAACCAAATTGAATCATGGTTTTGTATCTTTTTTAATGAGTTGTTGAATTCTGTTTGCAAGAATTTCATTGAGGATTTTCACACATATCATCATCAAGGATATAGGTTTGTTTGGTTTTTGCCTCTTTATCTGATTTTGGTTATTGTGGCTGCATAGAATGGGTTTTGAAGCATTCCTACCCTTTCTGTTTCATGGTAATGTTTGAGAAGCATTGGTGTTATTTCCTTTCTGTAGTTGATTAATCTTCAACATTATGTTCAGTGCTATTCGTATCCTGGTTAAAAATCTTTTCCTCGTCTAGATTCTAGAATCTGTTTGCTTCTGGTAGTGT